CACCAAATGATCAAACCAAAATCATCAAATAGAGATATCAACCATGGTAATTTTATTATCAAATAAAATGTAAAAAATGCACAAAAAATAAAAATGAATGGTTTTCCTAATATTTTTATTCAATAAAATTCTAGATTCAATCATGAATCAGGGGGGAAAAACCTGGAATTAATTGACCTATTTTTCTATTTTTAATGAATTATTATCAAACTAATATGAAATGAAGAAAATAAAAGAAAAACAATTGAAAATAATAAGAACCAGCGTGTTGAATAGCAATCCAACATAGTGCAATTCCTGGGATGGGACAAATGGGAGGTGTGAATATCAATCCAATCACTAAGCCCATTCACTTCAATTAAAAGAAACGGTGTGTATCAATGAAGAAGTCCAAGTCTGACTTTCAAAACCAATCGTGGTCGTGTGTTTGGGTTACTTGGTTAAGCTTCAAAGATGATCCAACGCTCACAGCTCATCTTCCTCATTCAAACATTCAGACATGGAGGGAAACCAGACGGTGGCCTGAGCAGTGGCGCCACCGTCTTCTCCGGTGAAGACAAATACACAGGTCATCAAAAATCACATAACCCTACATCAACTTGTCCAGTTTTTTATGCTGATCATGAATCTAACCTTAGAATCATCTAACTCTCTATGGATTTTCAAACCCGATAGTTATCCCAAAATACACCTCAATCTTGAATCTCATCAGAACTTCAATTAAATGCACACAAATAACCCTCATCTCATGGTGATCATCTTACACTATACAATCTTGATTATCAATCCAAGAATCTCTAGAATTCAGCCTCAACAGAAATTGGTCATCATCCTAACTTGTCTCTATTCATGCAATTAATCATCTCAAATCCATCTACACATTGCAAGGATCCTAACCACCTACAGATTTCTATCTATCTCCTCCTAAATTATGCATAGGGATGAAAAGTACCAACCTGAGTTCAGAGGTGTAACAGATGCAGTTCTTGATCACTTCAACCTCCAAGATGATGCAGATACACTCCAAAACACCTTCTGAAGCTAATGCAACCTTCAATTTCTCTTGATTTGGCCTGGAACTCAGAACTCGATTTCTACTTGCAACTCTGAATTTTCAATGGCTCTCTCTGCTACCAGCTTCAAACTCTTCCAAAAAAATGGCTGAACACACTCAACAACTTATATAGAACTCATTAGAATCATCCAGAACTTTCTCAAAGCTTCAGAATGAGAAATTGGATTTTCAAATTCTCCTCAAAATGTCATTCATGACAGTCACGATTCCCTCTCTGTTTTGGCCTCAGCAAGCTTGCATTCAACTTCTCATGAGATATTGAACATGAATGGTGGTGATTCACTCCTTGTTTCCATCCAATGGCTCATGCTTGATATGTTACTTCATCATGAAGAAACAAAGAAAAAGGGCATGATACTAGACTCAAATCAAAATTCTAATATTGCCAAAGTTTCTAGAATACCTTTTCCATTCAAAAAATGATATTATTTTGCTTCATTTGCACACAAAATGATTTATTTGAATTTTTGGCCTTTAATTCATTTTAATTCTTCCTTTTTCATAATTTCTTAAACCAAGTCTCTCCTTGAGCCATTTCAATTCCTCCTTGATACATGGTCAAGGTTAAAACCCCATTTTGAGCAACTTTCAAGTTGCACAAAATTTCATTTGAGATGTCTAAGTTGGTGAAAATGGCTCATAACCAAAAATGACCCATAATCACAACTTCCCAAAATACCCTTGACTTGTCAAAGCCATAACTTGAGTTCTAAAAATCCTATCAAGGACTTATAGTACTCTCTAGAAAGCTAAGAGAATAAGGAATAACATTCATGTTTACCAAAAGTTCATAGGAATCATCCTTTTAGGGCAAAAGTGTCATGCAAGTTGGGTAACTTTCAAGCTCCAAATTCACATACCTCAGATGACTTGTAACTTGTTTGGCTCATAACTTGAGTTCTATGGATCCTATCAAGGACTTCTAGTACTAAAATTAAAGCTAAGATCATGCCCTACAACAATCATGTTGGGGTCAAGATGAGATGACAATCACATCTTGAGCTAAATTGCCTTGAAGACAGGGGTCAAGCTAGGGGATTTTACACTATCAAGTCTTAGAAACCCTAGCTTGAAACTTCTCAAACTCTTCAATCATGATGTGTTGACCTTGGAATCATCCTTATAACATCTCAATGTATCCATCCATGATCACATGGCTCTTGGATTAAGTCTCAACTTCCTTCAAATCATCAGTTGACTTAGGGTTGACCCAATCAAATCCTAGCTGCACCACTCATGGCTGAGCCTTCTTAATCTTGCACAATGACTTGTCTAGGCCTCAAAGTGATCTTCAACACTTCTCATGAGCTCTCTCAAGACCTCAAGTCCATCTCCATGACCTCAGAATCATCTGATGGCTTCCCACAACTCTCAGGTTAGGAGACCTACACACTTGGCTTCAATCCCTCTCTCTGAGGATCTTTCAACTTCTCTGACAAGGATATCAACCCTTGAGCACCTGAATAACCCTCTTGGCTAGCTTCATAGTCTTGTATATCTCTTAATTGGTAATCATACATCTTGATCTCCTGCACACATGTCAATGAAATGCACATGATAATGCTAATGTGAATGAAATGAAACACAAGCTAGGTGAAGAAGTGTTGGGCAAATTTTGGGGTGCAACACATTTATACATGAAAATAAAAAATAATACATACCTTTATGTGAAGAGATTAGATAAAATGAAGAAGGTTTAATAGATCAATAAAGTTTGTTGAGTCTTGAACAACTTCTTGAATCTTAATCAACAAAAATAAAAAATCAAATAAGAGAAAAATCTAGAATGGAGAAGCTTAATCAAAAGAATATTAAAAAATAATACATACTTTTGAGTATAGAAATCAGATAACATAGAGTTTTGCAAAAATGATGAGGGAATGGAGGAAAAATTAACAAAAATGGTGAAGGGTGGGAGAAAATATTGAGGGAGAAGAAGAATTGTATTTGTATTTGAGGGAGAGGAAAAAATAAATGTTTAAGTTTTTCTTAGTGTTAGCAGTGGTGAAGTGGTGCAATAAATAAGTATTTTAGTGTTGGGAAAATCACGTCACAAAATAAAGTAATTGTTGGGTTGCGACGCAATTATCATGCCACTAATAGTGACGTGATCACCATTCCCCTAAATATGTGTGTCAGAACGGTAATCTTTTAGCGACGTGGAAAACATATCGCTACCATAAAGTTGTTGTCCATCTGCAACTCAATCAATTCCACCGGTAAACATTTGTCACTCAAATTTTGAAATTTCATTAGCGACGTGTTTTACTTGTCACAACAATATTTTGACAACTCGACTCTCTCAAACAGCCCGGACTTAATGCCCTCTTACGTAATCCGCATAATATTTTGTCATATCGACAACACATCAATGGTATGGTCATCCCTGACCTGCTCATTTTTCAAGATTTTTTCATGAGCAAGCCAAGGTGAACGTCCAAGATCTCCATGACTAATAGTCTTGTACCCGAAAGATCAGAGGCTGGCAAAATCGGAGTATCGGATGACACTTTAGAACCAATGATCCTTAGGCTGATAAAATTTCAAAATCTTTTTGTTGTGGTTACAAACTTCAAACAATTGCGCTTTTATTAAAAAAAAAATATTGACCATAAGGAATTTGTTTAAAACATATAAATAACAACTGTCAACAAATATACATCTCCGACCCAGACATGTCCAGTAACATGATTGCTATAGTATATTATTAAGGAGGTGTCAAAGAGCCTTCATAGATAAGGGTCTACAAGTGAAAGGACACCATTATGTGCAAAAGGAACTTTCTCCCGATCTATGTTAACACGAAAGACGTGCCCCTAAGCTAAGAACCCCTATGACAGACAACTCCTAAAAATCGATACTTCCCTTTCAAGAGGCCTAGGATGTTTCTCAGCCTAGCAAGAACAATGATCGAGATAACAAATACCATGTTCATATTTTCAACTAATAAGCAATTGATATCGATTTTTGTTCATTGTTCCCTCAAAAAAGTCTAAATCCAAGTTAGTCAAATGTTAATTTTATCCGAGTCCCTCCTCCTCCACAAATTTCAGTAACTTATACAACCAATAGAATATAACTATTTGAACCTTAATAAAAAAAACTCACCAAATTAGAAGAATTTATTATAGTTTATTTAAACTTATCCCATAAGATACGTTTAAAAAATTTTGAACAAGTGTTTTAAAAAACTTGTATGATTTTATTTTGTAAAACTGTTTTTTAATTTTTAAAATTTGAAAACAATAAAATTTATTTGATAGTCTTATTTAGAAAACTATTTTTAAAAGTTATTCTCTATTTTAGAGTTTTAGAAACTGAAAAACTAAAATAAGTTTAATAGGTTTTGCTTTTTAGCTTTTAGTTTTGAAAATTAAGAAAATAAAAGAATAAGAAAAATCAGTACATTTTTTATTAATGACAAATTTGTAATATTATACGATTTTAAAACAATTTTTAAAAGTAAGATTGTCAAACTTTTTTTTTATTTTTTTCTTCAAGACTAGTTTTTAAAATTAATTTACAAAATAATTTTCAAAAATTAAAAACTAAAACTCATTCAAACAAATCCAAACTCAAACTCAGTTATTTTCAACTAGTCTAAATAAACTTCAAAAAAAAATCCTGGATTATATCAGTGTAGCATATAATAACTCTGGATTTTTGGAATCTGGTGTTATTTATCAGAAAGCTCATCATAAGAAAAACATAATGCAATGGCAAGAATTATCAAAAGTAAATTGAGAAGAACCAATTTTATTTTAATCTATCCAAACTTAAATTAATTTACATCACCACATAATCAAACAAATGGTGTGACAGGAATAGACAACATAATGCAATGGTAAGAATTATCAAAAAGTAAAAAAGAAAGATATTTGAGAAATGAAATGTACATTTAAATAAAAGAATTTAGGACCTGATGTTATTCATCAGAAAGCTCATTGTAATAAAAACCATTACCAGCATTCTCATCAACCAAAGATTTTGTTTTGGTTCTTGATGATTTGCTAGATTTTAAGTGTTTGTTTACTTTTTCTGCCTGCAACTCCAGCACCTTCTCTGATGGTTTCCGATTTCTTTTAATTCGTGTTCCCACAGCATCATCTGTAAATAGTGTTGAAGGAAATTTGTCAGAAATGCACACACTATAGTAATGTTTTTTAAATAACATAATCAATTTGAGAGATGCAAATTCAAGATCACAGGGAAGAAAGCTTAAAGCCAATATAAAGGCCTCCCAAAGCTGTTTAATAGTTAATTTTTAGAATTGGAATTCTTAGGAATGCGCATACTCAGTTACAAGCATGTTTTGAAAGGTATGACCCATCCATTACCTTCCACTGGACTTGAGGCATGATTCATCATATGTCTATTTGTAACAGCCTCCTCTGAAAATGTGGATCCAGAGTTATTGCTGCCCACCAGCTTTGAAGAACTTTCCAAGAATTTATCTTGCTGTTCAGGAACATCGGGAATGGGAGATACTGGCAGGAATGATAATTCTTCTTGGGACATATCAGAGTCGCTGAAAGCAGGATCCTTCTCCACTGTCATAATGTCAATTTCCTCATCTTCATCGACATCAGATCCTTTTACCTGCAAGGATATGAATTTTAGATCATAAAATTGAAAAGGAAAGAATAATAAGACTTGCATGACAATATAACACTCGCATACCTTCTCAGTCTCAGGATTCAAATCAAATTCATCTTCACGTTCCACGTACTCCTCATTTTCCTCAAGCTCTTTGAAATCAGGAGCAAAAGCACTCCAGCTCTCGGTGTAATCTTTAGCCCAGATATAAGCTGTGCCGTTCAAAGCAACCGATACAACAATAGGACGTACAGGATGCCATGCTAAATCAATTAAGGCTTCCTTAGGCCCTTCAAGGATTTTCACAAGATGTCCAGCTCTATCCCATATGTAAATCTTATGCTCTCCTTTGCTAGCAGAACCACCAATAACCCACTCACCATCACAACTGAAACATGGTGCTTTCCAGTGCACCTTTGTTATTGCATCTTGAAACTCTCGGAATAATGTTAGACATTTTGATCCTATGGCCTTAAACTTCTCAACACCATTTAGATCACTGAGATTCTCATTCAGTTCCTCTAGTGCTCTAATTTCATCTTTCGGGGGAAGAAGATTTTCATAAATCCTGATTACTCTATCATTTGAGTTCGTCAGAAGATACTGTCCTTTCCTGCTTAATACAATGCTTTTCACTACTGAACCACCCGAGATGGGAATCATGCCACGCACCTCGCCGTCTTTACTGTCAATTATAAGAATTTGCCCTTTTGAATTTCCTACATAAACCAGGTTTCCATACCTACTAAAACATGCTGCAGTAGGTGTGAAGGAGGTGCTTCCATCAGAACCCTTATTGCGTGAGGCAGGGTTTGGTCCACTTGGTTTCTCAGAGACAGAAACTTTAAGAAAAGTCGTTTCTTCGGTATTTAAGTCAACAATCATCGGAGAACATGAGAGAGGACATGCCAAGCAGAGAGATGGTTTGGAGGACTCTGCTGGATGAAGACGAGCTTGTAAAGGAGTTTGCTGCAAAACTATTCTTCTTATCCTCTTACCACTCAAAACATCCCACAGCGATAATGACTTGTCAACAGCAGATACAAGAATTCGGTTACCATACTTTGACCAACAAATACTGGTAATGGGAGAAGAACATTCATTATCTCGAAGCTCTTTAGCAACGCCCCTGGTTAGAAAATCCCAGATAAAACAACTTCCATCATTGCAGCCAGCTGATTCAATTGATCAAATAAAGTATCAATAGTGAGAAAGTTGATAATGTGTAATACCTCCAATGATAATTAATAAAAGTTCAACACTTGCTATAATTTTATCCAATCCACACATTCAAATCCAATATAAGCCTATATGCTTAAAAAATAGGAACTGCAATATAAACCAGAAAGAAATACACTAGCATACCTCATGAAATCTAATCCCACTAGGAAAATAGTTGTGTAAATAAAGTAAAGTTATGAATGGTAAATAATTTCTCAAATACAAATAAAATGCTTTGATTTTCTATCGTTTTCTTTCTTCTATCCTCAGTTTTTTTTTTAATACTTCCCTTCTATTATATTCCCCTTCCTCTGTTTAATTTAACTTATATTTATGTAGCTTTTATTTGTGTGCAATATGCTTTATTTTATACATAGTTATTTATTTCAACGGCTTTGCAACTTCCACTATTGGCTGCTACGCTATCCACTATTTCTTATATTGGATTTTTGGTGATATGCTATTTTCTGCGATCCGCTATTAATAAGTCAAAATCAACCTAGACATGCTGCTTCAGGGTCTGGCCAGTTTGGAAGTTCCAGCTAGGATCCCGATGATTGTGATCAAATAGACTTATATGGTATACAGAGAATACGAGCGATGGTTTGTGATCAGATACTGACTTATATTATATGGTAGACAGAGAAACTGAAGATGCTGGAAATGTAGCCAGAACTACGTGCTGGGGGTTTAGCAAATTGGGATGAAGTACAAGAGACTGCAGAAATTGAGAGGTTAAAGGGAAATTGGCCACAGGTAGTGGGAAGACTGGATTAAGGGCTTCTCGGGTGAAAACATGCCTAGTACAACATAAAAAACAAAATGTATGCAGAATTCGGCATCAATTATAGCCTACAAGAGTATTAATCAGCAACCTTCCCCTAACACAGCACCTTACATTTACAAAATCAATTTAAATACCCAAACATCCTAAACTTCTATGTAGTCAATGACAGATTGCGGAGTGTAGATACAGCCCCAAAAACTCTATAATGGTATAGTGGACAGCAGCAGGGTCAGCTCAATCCTAAAGTCACTAAAAACTAGGGCTTTGGGCCATGGCTAAGAGCCAAAAATCCTTTGCAAATATACCATATTCGGGTTTTTACATGTACTTCACTGTAGCAACTGCAACAAACGCAATTTGTCTGCTCTGCCATTTGGCTGCTACTCAAAAACCACCATTTGTCTGCTCTGCTATTTTGCTGTTACAGCCTCTATTTACTACAGAACTAAAGATAATCCAACAAACAACATCATTCACACAGTGTTTCTTCATAACATAAGTAAACAAAAGACCATGTGACTAAGCATCTCTTGCAACAAAGTTAGCTTACATTCTCTACACAAAAATTACCAGGCTGCACTATTTGCTAGAACACGAAAGCAAAATACACTAAGCATCAACTTTCAAACAAAATCAAGCTGCTAGAATGTAAACACAGACTCCCATCATCAATGCTAGAACCAGTGTATTAATAGTGGAACATGGAAAATAGCGGATTGTCAAATCTCCAATATGAGAAATAGTAGACAGCCTAGCGGGTAAATATCGGAAGCCGCAAAGTGGTTGAAATATAAATAACTGTATAAAATAAACCATGTTCCACACAAAAAAAAGCGGCATGAACATAAATTGAGCATAAATTAAAAAAGTAACTAACATAAAACTCAAAACACGCCACTATACTGCAAATAGCGGAGTTGACATATTGTATAGGATTCCATATCACCTACCCCAAATTCCAATACATAATAGCAGTATAACCCTATATACTGACTTTTAAACAACATTAGTCAGGACCTAGCGTTTTAAAAAGGTCCGCAGCCACAATAATAGCCACAATAATAGCCACAACATCCACATTAGAACTGTGATTATCTACATTATGAAGAACTATGATATCAACCTATGTAAAACCTGTTAGGAATCCGGATAGCGCCGAAAGTGTCAATGGACTAAACGTTCAGGATCCAACAGACATTGACACCACATATCCACCCAAAACCTCAAGACAAATTCATTTCTAGTCGATACGACACTTAACCACTCACACTTGAATCCAACAAAACCCTTTAAATTTTGCATAGCTGCCACATACAACTAAGAAGCCTATTGCTTTTCCAATCAACTAAATGCATGATTTTTTAAAACCGTCATTATCTGCATTAAAAAAAGAGCTAGTTAGTTAGTTAGTTACCAGCAAGAAGGGTACCGCGACGGTTGAAAGCAATGCATTTCATAATGCCATGTTCCAGCTCCAAATACTCTTCTATCACTTCAGGAAAACCTCCATATAAAGGATCTTCAATGTAGAACACCATAATTAAATTCATTTCTAAAAATTAAAGTAAAGTAACATGAACACTAGAGTAATAATTTCGCGTGGATACTTATATTGAAATCGTTAAACGTTGATTAAAGGAAATGTGCCCTAATAATCAGTAATGAGGTTAACGTGATAGTGTAATGAATTGAACAGCATGAAATGCGTGAAAAGGAAGATAGAGAAATCGAAGGAAGAAGAAAAAGTGTAGAAAACTAACCGAGTATAGATGTGTTCATCGTTTTCAAGAGAAGCGTGAAGAGAATGATGAAGTTGGGATGACGAAAAATGGAGGCAACTGAGAAGCGAACGAGAGAGGGAAAGCGGAAAGGAGACAAATTTACATACCAACGTCATGGTTCATTTTCGAGAAGAAATTTTTTCCCTATTTTTTTTTTTATTAATTTAAAAGTTAGACAATCGCTCTCCAATTTTTTTTTTATATATACTAATCAATGATTTAATTAAATTTAATATTTGTAATATCTTTTAAATAAAAAATAAAAATAACTATAACATAATTAATAATTTGAACAAATTCCTTACATTACTATTTAAATTGTGATATCTAATTTTTTTAGGCATTTCAAATGTGTACTACATTTTGAACTATCAATAAATTAAAGAAATAATTCTCCATTTTTTTATTTCAGCCAAAATATATTAATTTGAATATTACAAACCAAATTATAAAGTTAAACATCACTCAATTATGTTTGGTTGATACAAAATTATAAATTTTATTTATTTGTTAATATAAATAAAACACAAAACAAATATTTGTAATTGATAATTATAAAATACAAAAAAAAAAACTATTTACCGGTATATCTAAAAGCACGAGACACATTATTGTTATTAATAAAAATTATTATAGTTTTGATCCTTCTATTTTATTCGATTTACAAAATTGATCGTCATATTTTAATTTTAAATAGTTTTGGCCCCACAGTCATATTTTTGCACTTAAAATTAACGATATTTATATTTTTTAAATGACAATTTTTTTGTGAAACATGAACAATCATCGTATATAAACCTACTGAGAAACTCTATAAATCAAAATATAAGTTAAAAAATAAATATTTGGTCGATTTTATGTGAAAACGTGATAGGAGACTAAATCTCTTTGAATTTAAAATAGGAGGACTAATTTTGTGAATAAAGTAAAATTGGGGGCCAAAAATGTAATTTAACCTAAATATAAAAAAATACATATAAAATATATATCATTGGTGGATATAATATAAAATGCAAGACAAATATTTGTCACAAGTTAATTTGAATAACAATGGACAATTGACAATTTCTTATCATAAAAAAAAGAGTTTGATTTCAACTTTGGTTCTCCCTATTTTACTTATTCACAAAATTAGTTCTCATATTTTAAATTCAAACAGTTTTGTCATCTTTCATTCTTTTACATTGAAAATTGATTAGACATTTGTTTTAAATGATGTGTCACTTGTGAAACGTGACAAATCATGACATAAGAACGTTGTGGAATACAAGTATGGTCTTCCTTCTCCGTTGATGACGGCATGGAACGGATTTGAACCCAAGTCATTATTTTTTGGCTGTGGGATGTACAAGGTATTAGTTTGATTTGTAATTTTCATGAGCAATGTTATTTTATGATTTATAAAAAAATCCTCATTTTTTCTCTATTTCTAGAATCAGAGATATAAGAAGTGTATTCACTTCGTCTGGTATGATGAAGAGATGTCTCAACAAGGCAAAAAAATAATATATTCAATGCAGCAAAAATTAAACCAAAAAAAGATCAAGTTGAATAAAGCAATTATCAGAGAGGATCAACTGAAGTTGAATATCAAGTTCATGAAGATGATGAATAAGTTTATGATGGAAATGACATTAGTGTTGTTAATTGGATTGGTTGTATCAAATTTAATGACTTAGTTTATTAGGTTAAGTTGATTATATTGATCATATTAGGTCATTTATGTAAGGTTGATTATGTTAGGTTGTTAGGTTGTTTATGCAAGTTTGTTGTTATATCAAATGTAATGTTCTCTTAACATTGTGTGAGCTGCAATGCAATGTAATTGATTATGTTAAGTTGAATGAAAAGTTCAGTTAAGATTGTTGTTATTCACAGTAATTTGTAATGGTAAGTTGATAATTGTTTTTGTTGAATATACATGTAATTTTAAGTTGAACATAGTGTGCAATGTTAAGATTGTTGTTGTGACAGACCTGTAAAGTGCAATGTTAAGCCGAACATAATGTGCAATGTTAAGATTGTTAATGTTATAGACCCGTAAAATGCAATGTTAAGTTAAATATAATGTGAAATGTTAAGATTATTGTTGTATGACAGTTTGTACTTTGATCATGACAGACCTGTAATGTTATGTTGAATGCAATGTGCAATGTTCTACATTATATTTAAGACAGGCCTGTAATGTTGAGCATTACATTTAACAAGTTTAAACCTTGAACAAAACACAATGTAATATAGTTTTTAATTTTTACTATAGACCTGTAATGTAATAGTGAAATTTCAAGATGTAAAATATCATTGACATTTCATAAACTTGTTCATGACATAAACTTGTTCATGATAGTTACGACTTTATTCATGACAAACCAAATCACCAAAATACTGAAATACTTGTTCATGATAGACCAAAATACCTAAACATTACAACTTTATTTATGAAAAACAAAAATAAACAAAATTATAACTTTTTGACATACCAAAATACTAAAACAGAACATTAATCCAACTCTTGAGTAGCTTGAGGTCCTCGTGAGAAAGATCTAATTTCTTGGGTAGGTTGTGTTGCACTTTTTGACTTCTTTTTCTTTACCTTTTACTTTGAAGTTTGTGAATTCTTGGTCTTATTGCCACCCTTTGACATGGCCATATCTGCTTTCCTCTTTCCTTTTCATGTCCTCTTGTTATGTCCCATGGATCCAGATTTCTGACATGTAACAGTTGCAAGCTTCCTTGGCAGAACATGTGGGTTTTTTTGGTTCATCACTGGTCTTGTTTCTCATCTTCTTGGGACGTCCAATTTCCCTTCTTATCACTGGTGGATTCACCATTAATGTACCATCTATAAGTCATAGTTGGGGACCATTTGTAGGGTAGATGATGTATAAGTGTGTTTTTTAAAAAGTTGATTTTCTACACAAAATAACAATATTTAGCATCATAGTCACATATTGCACACAATAACATAACACCAAATAACATGACTCAATTCATAACAAACTTGTAATACTTAGAAATATATTCTTCAGGTTGTTTCTTGTTATGCCATATACATCTTATGGCATGGCTGCAAGGGATACTAGATAAGTCTCATTTCCTACAAGCACAAGTACCTTCTTTAATGTTGACACTATAAGCTTTAATACCATTTGTTACATACTTGAGACAGAATTTCACCTCTTCATTGTTTTTCCCTTTTGGTGGAGGAATTTTGTCCAAAGCTCTTCCTGAATCTTGATGAAGCGTGGTGAAAAAGAACGTTTAGGGTTATTGTTTCCTAGGTTGGTTGCGAATTTGAATTAAGGTTCTTCATCAATAGTGGACACATGTTATGTTTTTGGGCTATGACTCTTCAGAAATTGGGGGAAACACGTTTGCAGGATTCTTCATTATGGAGAGGATGGTTTTATAACTAAACATAATTGAATCATTATTATTGTTTAATTTTAATTATTTTCTAAATTGTTTAATATAAATCAAGTATACAATGTTTTTACTTGATGTGGCATTTCTTTTCTAACTTGGGTCAACATTTCATTTGTCACCTTATAATGCCACATAGCCAAATTTGAACAAGGGAACCAAAAAAAAACCCAAGAACATTCATAACAAGGGACTCAAAACCTGGTTTTTTTTAAAGGAGGATTAAAAGTTTAGAAAATGAAATAAAAGGGACCAAAATTGCATTTAAGTCTTTTAATAATAAAAATATGTGTGATAATTGATGTGTTATATGAGTAGGTGTGATTACTCATGTTCAAACTGAAGTGGAATAAGTATAGGTTAGAGAAATTGGGTTTGAGAGTGAGATTCTCGGAAAATTTAGTAGAAAAATGTCACAGGCAAGTTTGATTCGAATCAATATTACAACATGATTTGAATCATGGGTCAAAATTTGGAAGAAAAAAAACACCTATAACTATTTGATTTTAATTAGGAAAACAACATGATTTGAATCAGGCAAAGCTGATTTTGTTTAGATATTGTTTTCATTATAACTTGAGTTTTTTGACTCAATCGAAGCGTGATTTGAAGCATTGAAATGCTAACGCGTAGTACTACCTCATGGTAAGGTCCTAAGAGGTCAATAGTATACTTTAGGATGTGAATATATGTTGTTACTTGTTGTGTAACACAAACTAATGGTTAATGACGATGACAACATTTTGTTTTGATTGTTATGATTGATTAAATTAATGATTACTCTATGAGGAAAGATGTTGATGTTGATGTTGAGATGATATTATTGTTATAAAATATATGAGAAATTGAATAACATTTGGAATGTGGATAAAGTTGTATGATTATGTATTGTTGAAAATATTTGAATATCATACTTGTTGTATTAAGGTGATGACCTTATTGGCGGTGTACATGCTCAGAAGTGAGAGCGACTAGCTGATTTCAATAATGAGATCAGTAAAGCGTTAATTATTCAATAGTGGGGATAAATGACGATTATGGTGAGCTCTGGTTTTAAAGAGGGGACCGGGAGCGAGTATGTGATAGACCAGAATATTTGTTAGAATATTCTTGTAATAACATCTGTATCTTTTCCATTCATAGAATATGCAGTACCTTCCTAATCTATTTTAAGCAAATAATTGATGTATAGTTAAGAGGCTTCTATATTGGTCACACATGATCATTGTACATATATGGATACAGATTAATGAAAACAATAGGAAAACAATTCCTTTCATGGTATCAAGAGACCTAGGTTGCCCCGCTTAGCCTCTCAACCTTCTGTTACACGATATTTTTTTCTTCTTTCTTTCTCTACTCACTAATCATGTCAATCCCAACCGATGTGGTAACTCCTCCACCACAATCGTCTTCACCACCAAAGAACCCTTTCCATCCGGCTCTCGCCGTAACCAACATCAAGAAGCACATCCATATTGTTCTTGAGATGGAAAACATTCAATTTGGTACGTGGGTTGAACTTTTCAAAATCCATGCTCAATCTCATAAGGTTCTTCATCACATCATTCCTCC